CCTCTGTCTGTCAGTCTCTCTGTGTCCCTGTCTCTGTCTCTGGGGTGGTTCCGTTTGTGTGTCAGCGTGGCTGGGCCTGGCTGAGGGGCTGGGCAGCTGGAGGTAGTGTTCCCCATGATGAGACTGGTCATCACCTCCGTGGTGGGGTCTATTGGAGCAGCTGAGGAGATGCCATTGGGGACGTGGTCTGCTTCCCATACATAAGAAGCAGCTTTGGGAATGGTCTCTAGCTTATGGCACCTTGGACCCTGCATGTAGCCGTGTCGTTGTTCAGTAGCCTGCCATGCTCTGCCGACTTGGGGTCTGGTAACATCAGGACTGTGCCATTTTATTTGTCGACCTTGGGCTTGTCAGCCTCAACAGCCAGTAGCTGCCTGAGTGAAGAGATGCCTCTTTCTTCAATGGGCCGGGAGCAGGAGGCAGAGCTAAAGCCCAAGGTCAAGGGGCTTTCACTCGGCCCCTAGAACCTGGCACTTTGAACTCGGACTTCTAGCCCCCCAAACTGTAAGAGAATAAACTCCTGTTGTCAAGGCCATCCCATTTATATTCTTGTTAGAGTGGTACTAGGTAACCAGAGCAGTCTCTGTCTGTGTCTCTCCCTGTCTCCTTGTCTGTCTCTCTATCTCTTTCTCTGTCTCTCCTTCTCTTCCCTGTTTCTCTCTCTCTTTCTCCCTCTCTCTCTATGCCTCTCTCCCTGTCTCTGTCTCTTGTCTCCCTGTCTCTCTCTCTCTTTCTCCCTGTCTCTCTCTCTGCCTCTCTCCCTGTCTCTCTCTCTGCCTCTTTCCCTGTCTCTGTCTCTGTCTCTCTCCCTGTCTCTGTCTCTCTATCTCCCTGTGTCTCTCTCTTCCTGTCTCTCTATCTCCATTTCTATTTATCTCTCTGTGTCTCTCTGACTCTGTGTCTCTCTCTGTGTGTCTTTCTCTCTGTCCTCCTCCTCTGAGCCTCCACTGGCCTCCAGAATGTGTGCAGAAATCCTGGCACCTGCGCCACATGGCTTCTGGTCTCCGTGGTCTCTGGTCCCTGTGGTCTCTGCCCCCTGTGGTCTCTGGTACCTGTGACTTCTGGTCCCTATAGTCTCTGGTCCCTGTGGTGTCTGCCCCCTGTGGGCTCTGGTCCCTGTGGTCTCTGGTCCCTGTGGCCTCTGGTCCCCGTGGTCTCTGGTCCCCCTGGGTCTCTGGTCCCTGGGTCTCTGGTCCCTGGGTGTCTGGTCCCTGTGGCCTCTGGTCCCTGTGGCCTCTGGTCCCCGTGGTCCCTGGGTCTGTGGTCCCTGTGGCCTCTGGTCCCTGGGTCTCTGGTCCCCGTGGTCTCTGGTCCCTGGGTCTCTGGTCCCCGTGGTCTCTGGTCCCCATGGTTTCTGGTCCCTGTGGTCTCTGGTCCCCGTGGTCTCTGGTCCCTGGGTCTGTGGTCCCTGTGGCCTCTGGTCCCTAGGTCTCTGGTCCCCGTGGTCCCTGGGTCTGTGGTCCCTGTGGCCTCTGGTCCCTGGGTCTCTGGTCCCCGTGGTCTCTGGTCCCTGTGGCCTCTGGTCCCCGTGGTCCCTGGGTCTGTGGTCCCTGTGGCCTCTGGTCCCTGGGTCTCTCGTCCCTGTGGTCTCTGGTCCCTGGGTCTCTGGTCCCCGTGGTCTCTGGTCCCCATGGTTTCTGGTCCCTGGGTCTCTGGTCCCTGTGGGCTCTGGTCCCCGTGGTCTCTGGTCCCTGGGTCTCTGGTCCCCATGGGCTCTGCTCCGTGTGCCCTCTAGCATGCACCAGGCAGAACTGATCGAGGGACTGATGTGAAGGTCGTGTGAGCTCGTGCCCCGGGGAGCACTTAGCGAGGAGCTGGTGCCGCAGGTTAGTCACCAGCCGGCTCAGGGGCAGCTCCCACTCGCCTCCCTGTCTCTGTCCCAGGTCAGAGGCGTGAAAGGTGTCTTCCTGGCAAATCAAAAACTGGATGGAAAGGTGACAACGCTGATCACCTACAACAAGGGCCGCGACTGGGCTTACCTGCGGCCGCCCAGCACGGACATGAACGGGAGACCCACCAACTGCCAGCCGGTGAGTGCTCGGCTCAGCCACGCACCTGGTGGCAGCGCTCAGGGCGTGGCCACAGAAGGCGGCGAGAAGGACCGTCTGAGAGGCCACAGTGCAGCCGTGGGGAGGGCCAGGCGCACCCCTTGTCCTGCACACGGGGTTACCTGGAGCCAGTCAGAGGACAGGCCTGTCAGCCAGCGGCCACTCAGTGCCGGGGCCGCCCAGTGCCGGGGCCGCCCAGTGCCGGGACCGCTCAGCGCTGGGACCACAGCGGGGCCTCCGCTGGCTCTGCTCCCAGTCCAGCACCTTCCTCTGGGGCCAGGCCCGTTCCCATGGCAACAGCAGAGGCTCAGGAGGTGTCCCCTCTGCGAGCATCCTGCTGGCCGAGGCCCAGGCCCGAGAGGCACACTGTGTCTGGACGTGGCGGGGGGTGTCTCTCACCTTCCCGGGGCAGTCAAGGGCGCCACAGTCAGCCAGCAGGGCCAGGACTCAAGCCCATGGCCCACAGTGCTGGCTTGCTCCCCTGGTGGCGCCCCTCCACACGGGACAAATGTGGCCCCCCGAGTCCCTCGGCTGCCTGGGGGTGTGCGCCAGTTCCCGGGGTGCCCCCGGCCCCCACTGTGGCGCACAAGGGTTCATATTGGTGGGAAAGGAAGGCAGAGAGGCTGACGGGCCATTTCACGCCTGCCCTGGTCCGAGGCAGCACTCGGGGGACAGCCGCTGGGATGGCTAAATGGGAAGCTGGGGTCCCGAGGGCACCCAGCAGACCTGGCCCTCCTGGGCCCGTCTGCTTGCACACCTCAGAGAGCTCATTACCGCCAGCATCCCTGAGCTTTGCCCGCGCGGCCGCTCGGGGTGGCGGAGGGTCCAGCCACAGCTCTCCCCGGCTGCGTGTGATCCCAGGCAAGTCGGGGTGCCTCGGAGCCTCCCTGAGAAAGGAAAGGGGGTCCGAGTCCCTGTGGGGCGGGGGTGGGGGCGTGTGCTTGGCACACGTGTGGCCAAGCATTTGAGGAGGAGCAGGCTTCCCCGTGGGCCTCCCCTTTCCTCATCCAGCAAACTCCTACTGGTACCTGAAAACCCTGCCCAAATGCCCCTCCACTGAGAAGCCTTCCCTGGGCTCACTTCTGTGGCTGTGTCCCATGTTGTTTGGGGCTGTTCTGTGGGTGCAGAACCCACCACTCCCCCTCTCCAAGACTCAATTTCATCTCCACGGAGGAAGAGTGAGTGGGCTCCTGCTTTACAGGTTGCTCGACCAACCCATGTCTGTGCCTGGGGTGTGCCGGCCTCTGTGCTGGGCGCTTGGGAGATGTCTGTAAACCAAACAGCAAAGCAACGCTGTGCTCGCAGGCCCCCGTGGCACACAGCTATTGTTGTAAGTTGCCGAGAGTTGGCCGACTCATAGTGACTGCACGTGTAACAGATGAAAACCCTGCCCGGTCCCTCCGTCCTCAGCATCGCTGGCGTGTTTGGGCCCATGGTTGCGGCCACTGCGTTGTCCACCTCACAGAGGGGCTCCCTAGTTTCCACTCAGCGTCCACTTGAGCAAACACGATGTCCTTGTCCAGTGGCCGGTCTTTGCTGACGATGTGTCCACAGGAAGAGTGTTGGAGTCTTGCCACCCTCGCTAACAGAGTGGGGCCTCGGGAATGGCACCCTGCTTCCCGCCAGCCACATCCTGGGCCCACGGGGGCCGTTGTATTGAAATGACCCTCCTCCCTCCAGACGGGTGGCTGGCCCCCAGAGCCCCACAGCCCCGGGCCACGCCTCTTTGGGGGCTGCCTTTCAGCTCTGTATAAGCCCCCCATCAGCTGACAGTGCAGGGCCCACCTGCAGGCCTCCGTGG